CCTGCCGCGTCCGTGAGCGCGCGGAAGGGCCATCCAGTGCCACTTGAAACCACCATCTGCTTCTAAAGCATTACGGCAAGCGTGCTAGCGCGGGGGGTTTCAGTGAAAAGTAAAGCCCCTCGCTGATACAGTGGTCGATGAGGGGCCGTTAGAGGGGTTGCAGAATGCATGTGTAGCGGTGGCTTGTGTTCAGGAACGGTGAGGGTAAGAAGGTGTCATGGCAGCAAGAGCGTTTGCTAGGCCGCGACCGACGCTATAAGGTCCAGGATTATACGCGCTCCCCCGATTGAACGAAGACAAGCGGGGCATAATTTAGCGGACTCTTCCACTTTCTGCTGACGGGAAGCTCAATCGTGTGTAGGTGTTGTCCCGAGCCGAAAGACCTCGGCCAGACGGGTCGGTGGAATCGGTGTGTCTGTCGACACGCAAGAAGCACCGTGTTCGCGGCGTTGAATGTTCGTGTGAGCTCTGCAAGCCGTGGCAGTCTACTGCAGGTGTGGACCTGACTAAATGCCAGTGTGGGTCCGGGGAACGGGATCCTGGCCCGAAAGTATGGATAGAGTTCCAGAGGGCAGCCGACGATCGTCTTGAAATTACTCGTGGCACGACTTGCAAGTATCCTGGGCGTCATGTTGTGAAGGTGATTACCCCTCTGCAACCCCTTTTCCCGCGCCCTTCGTCATCGTGCAACACAGACCAGCCGCCCTGGAGGGAGGGGCGACGGATTGTTTGGTATTGAAAGCTGTTGCAAAGAACTGGCGCAGGCGTCCCTAGGTGGGAAGTGAGGCGGTGAGCCACCATCTGCATGGCCTGCATCTGATAACTGGCGGCCCACTACTCCTCCAAGAGTGAACTCGACCTTGTTCTTACCGCCTCTTCCTCTGGCGGACGGAGAGCGACAGCGGGTGCTCGTTGAGGCTCTTGTGGGAGAACCATTGGACAGGCGGCTGCCATGTCGCACACCTGGGCCCAGAAGCCTAATGGTTAGGGTTACCCCGGAATGTAAGACTTCGGGATTATTATTGCAGTATCAGAGGTTGTTGATGGCCTCGGTGTGCGATAGTCAAGAGTACATTGGAAGAGTCGCAACCTTGGGTGGTAGCAGGGTGCCTGTCACTAATAACCACATGGGCAACCTCAAAGCTGCCAGCTATACAAACACATGTCAGAGCCAGCAAAAGCATCGCAATTAATAAATGTTAGACACTGGACAAGTCGCGTTAGATACACTAGCGTGATATCCATGGATCCGTTCCCGCAAGCAAGGTGTATGGTGTGAGGCTGGCTGGCTTGGAGGCTTGTGCGCCGCGGCGGCCGAGCCCCTCGCCCTTTCTGAGGTCTCTCTTGAGACTTGACATCCTTCCCCTCTATCTCGGTCACAACGGTAGCCATTATTCTTCCATCATCACGCGCGTAGCCATACGGTGCTGACGCCTACGACTTCCTCTCTTTTTCCCACCGGCATACCTTCGCAGCTTTTTCGCCAATACGCGGGATGAACGAGGCGGCGCACAGCGATTCCATCACGACCATCACCACCACAATTTAACGCCACTATTCCATCCATTGAGATGGCGTCAAACTCTTCGCCCGCCGTGCGCAAGACAGGCGCGCCCGAAAAAAAATACAAATGTCAGCAGCGCCCTGTACGAGGAGCTGTACGTGAGAACATCTACTGACCTTCGTCCAGGCCAGTTTTGCAACCGCGCTTTCAGCCGTAGCGAACATAGATCGCGACATGAACGCTCACGTAGGTCAAAACTCCCGTCTTTTCCGTCGCGATGGAGCTTCGCTGGGCGGGGTAGCTGTTTACGCGTTCGCCCCGCGCGTACTGTCGTTGCTACCTGCCCCGCGTTTGTTGGAAAGATTGAAGCTGACGTTTGCGACGACACATAGACACCAAAGAGAGACCGTTCAAATGTGCCAAGTATGTTCCCCTACACAGACGCATTATGGGAAATATGCTGACTTCAAATTTAGGTGTCGCTCGACATTCGTACGTCGCGATCTCCTCCTAAGACACGACCGCACCGTTCACGCGAAGGATGGTGGCGCGCCCCTCCCCAGCGAGCAGAAGCGCCGAACGAACACCAAGGCAGCCGAACAGAAACAAGCCACGGCCGAGAGCGCGACGACACTCGAGCGCATCGAAGCCGAGAACGATGCGATGCACGAGGATGAGGACCTCAACGCGGCGGCCATGTTGATGACCGACTTCCACCACAAGGCAATGGCGAGCCAAGAACCCGAGATGATTCCCGAGCACAACGAGCCCGTCATCTCGCCCACGGGCCCCTCAATGATGGAGCCTGTCATCCCGTACACTGCCCCCGGCCAGAACATGCTTCCGCAGATGCCGTGGCGAGACTCAATGGTGCCTCAATCCGAGCCCAAGTCGTCGCCCAACACCCACTCAGCTTTCAACAGCGCCAGCGCGCTCGGCTCGCATCCCCACCAGCTTCCACCCCTGATGGAGCGCACCATGTCTGGCAGCGACAGCCTCGCGCCTACCTTCTCAGCAATGAACGGCGGCAATGGATTGGGTACCCCTGGTGCCCTGTCACCCTACCCCTCCATGATGGGACCCGTATCACCAGTCGACTACCGCAAGTCACCCGGCCCCAATCAGGCTCTGATGATGACCCGCGCCCCTCAGCTGGACTCTGAAGAGCAGTGTGCAAGGATCTACGAGAACATCAAGCAGTACGACAGTGAAAACTCGCTCTTGGAGACGTTCCACTTGCCTAGTCTGAACACGCTGAACCGCCTGTTGAAGACGTACTTCGATCTGTTCCACCACCATCTGCCTTTCTTGCACCCCGCCACCTTCAACCCCACCGAGGTGTCTGCCCCGCTATTGCTTGCTGTGTTATCGATAGGTGCTCTGTACATCTTTGACCAAGACCAAGCCTATATGCTGCACATCGGATCAAAGGTCCTAGTCAACCAATTTCTCCAGAACAAGGAAAACTTCAGTTCCCGCAAATGCCCCTTGTGGACGATGCAAAGCACCCTGCTCAACATGATTTTCTCTAGCTGGAGTGGCGATCCCAAGGGCCTTGAGTGGGCTTGTTCGATTAAGAGTCTTCTTGCCAATGTACGTATATGTCCTTCTTGCTCGTGATCACCACTAATACATCGTAGATGGTCGCTGGAAACCGATACGAGCTCAAGCTCCGATCTGATGCCCGTGATGGCGCTCAGCCAAACCACGAAGAATGGGTCGTCGACGAGCAATGCCGACGGACTTACTATGCCGTCTACATCTTCTTCGGCCTACTGACGCTCACCTACAACCACACTCCTGCAATGGGTTTCAATGAGTTCGACACCTTGGAGCTGCCTTCTTCGGAGTCGCTCTGGACCATGGAGGTTTCAGATGACGAAGCCTGGCGCGAGAGCCTGAGTGCTTCCAGGATCATCACGTTCCGCCAAGCGCATGACAACCTATTCCAAGGCGAGACTGCTCGTTACAGTGCTTTCGCCACACGCGTCATGATCAACGCATTGTTCCTCGAAGTATGGTACCACAAGCGTAGCCCTGAAGCTCTTCAAGACGTAGTCACCGAGTACAAGCTTCGCCTGGCCCTGGAAACATGGGAGAAATCGCTTGAGCTCTGCGAGCCTGAGACAGTCGTTGTCCAACTGAGCGCTCCACACAAGGGGCATCCTCTTATTTTCAACGCCATGGCGCTGTACAGAAATACCAGGGCCCGACTCGTGGTCGATCTCAAGTCCATCCAAGAAGCTCTCCGCTATCACGACTCCTACGAAGTAGCCGCTGCTATGACTAATGCCCGCGACAAGGTCCAGCGTTCACCAGAGATGATCAAGGTCATCCAAGAATGCTTCGATTGCATCGAGGTCGCTGCCGTGCAAGGCATACGCTGGGTTGCTCGAACTTCCGCTACCAACTGGAGCATCGAGCATCCACTTACGGGCATGGATCTGATGGTCATCTTGACGCTATGGCTCTACCGCCTGGAGCACGACGAAGAGCCAGCCACCGAGGAGGAGCTAGCCATGTACAACAAGCTGCGCAACCTGTTTGATGACGACTCTGTGGATGTCTACGGTGCAAAGCTGAGCTCCACTGTCGCGCGACTATGGGGCAGCATGATCGACGAGGTCGTCGTTTGGGGGTATGTAAATGCTTATCTATCTTTTGGTAACCTGGCACTAACGATATTTAGCATCACCAAACTTATGGGCGAAGCTTTCAAGCTACATTCGCAAGCACTTGTTGGCTACGAAGATGCCATGTCGTCTCGATCTGGATCCGCTACGCCATCAATGGCTGCTGGTGGTGTCCAAGTGCTCGAGATGCAGATGGCCTACTAAGCGAGAGACAGCTTCCGCAGCTGGTCACGATCACCCACGATCTTGTTTCCATCTCGCGTCACTTTTACAGATTGTGGATTTCTTCCTATATTTCGTCCTCTCCTTGCACTTGGGAGCATGGCAAGGAGTTTGGCGCCCCGAGCATCAGTCTATTGTTTATTTCATTTCATTTAATTTTTTCAAGATCGGGGTAATACGGCGCACAGGGCGGGTCTGGTCCAGATTCCTACACTCTCGAGCTCATGCTCTACTCATTTGGCATTCTTCTAATACCTCTCCCTCGCTCATACCCATCGGCATTTCTGGACTGTTGAAGGCTGGCCCTAGGCGCGTTATTGCTTCACTTCGGTTCTGCTACTAGCGCTGCCTTTGTTGCATTCTTGCTAATATCTATTTCTTTTCGCCTGTACTTCGGTAATGCCTTTTCTTGGTGGCATTGGGCTCTTTCTTTACATATACCATAGTATGTCATGATTCGACTTCGCGGTGACGGAGATGGGGGATATTACGGTAGTGGATATGATGCGAAGGTGTAAATCGGTCTCAAATAGTACTGTATGAATACGTCTTCTTATGCCATTATGACTTGAACGTAAATTCGTATCTGCCATTCTGTAATGTTTGTGTTCTTTGCGAAGCCCTTCGCAAAGAACACATCCATGGGTGAAAAACCACTAGTCCACCTGGGCATGGTTGCTCTAGGCACAGACCACCTGGGCACCCGCTTAGCGCGACGAAGCTTCATTCTCTTCCAAAATTTCGCGAAACCGACTTCAGCACGACGCATTACCAGCCACCACATCTTCGCATTTCTAATTCCTACCCAAAACCTACAGTCGCTTACCCCCACAATGTCGAAAGATATCGAAGAGAAGAGGCTGAAGAAGGAGAAGAAGGACAAGAAGGAAAAGAAGGAAAAGCGCGCAGAGACAGACGGCGTGTCCAAGAGCAAAAAGGACAAGAAGGAGAAGAAGGTCAAGGGCGATGTCGAGATGGTAGACGCGCTCGAGGCTGAGCTCGAGAAGGAGCCAGAAGTCTCAATGGTCAACGTCGTGGACGGTGATGAGCCGCGCGGCGCACTCGTTCCCTTTGCGTTCCCTCTCGCAGACAACGACAAGGAGGTCAAGAAGATCCTCAAGACCGTCAAGAAGTGTATGTTTTCCACTTCATATGTGTTGGCCTGTTGGCGCACTTGAAAGACCAAAACTGACGTCTATCCTGCTACAGCCGCCAAGTCCAAGACCCTCCGCCGCGGTGTGAAGGAAGTCGTAAAAGCGCTGCGCAAGTCCGCTGCTTCAGGCGCCGGATCCTCCCTCGACGACCCCAGCGCCATTGTTGTCATCGCCGCCGATATCTCGCCAATGGACGTTATTGCGCATATCCCCGTTCTCTGCGAAGATCACAACGTACCGTACATCTACATCAAGAGCCGCGCGCAGCTCGGCGAGGCAAGCGCAACAAAGCGACCCACCAGCGTGGTCATGATCGGCAAGGACAGGATGGGCAAGAAGGCCGGCGAGGGCGACGAGGAGTTCACCGAGGCATACGGAGAGCTGGTCAAGGTTGTTGGCAAGGCTGCTAAGACAGTCAAGAAGTGAGAGCAATGCGACAAGTGGAGGAGAAGATGATCGACCGTGTGTCGAGTGTATTGTTCAAAAGGGAAATGAGGAGTCTGGCGTTTTTCACCCATGGTTGGCTGATCAGTCCTCCTAGTGTTACTGTTTCAATTCTAGGCATCGAGCTAGGCTTGCAATATACCTTTACAAAACTTCACGCGCTCATTCCAACGGACGATTTGCTCGGTCATGATCTGCTGCACCGGGTACATTTGTGGCTCGCACTCGTGGGCGCTACACAAGACACTACGCGGAGCTCTCTGAAGATCGTCTGCAAGTCAAGGTCCGATTTCATAAAACGAATGTTGGGGTTATGTACATATCAAGACAACCAAGTATAAACACGAAGAGAACTCGTCACCACCCGCCCGCAGTGAACATGGTCAGTCAAAGACTGCCCTTGATAATGCAATCTCGTCCTTCGAACACAGGGTTCTGAAACCAACGCCTAGTTAGCCGCAGTCCACAGCGCCGGACCAGGGAACGTGTAAGTCGTAGGGTTGGTGTAGATGTTGAACACGATACCCGGCATGTCCTTCGTGTACAAGCTAGTACCAGGAACGCCAGCCGTCGGTGCAACAGAACCGCTACCACCGACCTTGAGGTTCAAGCCTGCAGCGATACTTAGCATGTGATCTTCTTACATTGAAAGCAGCTTGAGAGACGAAGACACTTACACTGGGGGTACAGCTGCGCGCCATTCACGTTCTGCCCACCGTGAAGAGCAATGATCTCATGACGGATAACGTAGTTGCCAGGGGCAAGTTTGGCGGGGAGCACAGTAGAGACCTTGAACTTGTTCTTGATGAGCGTGTCTGTAACCCAGGTTCCTGGGCTGACGATGGCGGATTGAGAGATCTTGGACCAGCGGAGAGCACTGGGGGTCAGAGTGGTACAGTCGCCTGTGAGAAAGAAGTGATTAGTAAGGCTGTATGCTGTACTGGCTCAAGCAGATGGCATACCGTTGCAAGGCGCGATGTAGTTGATAATCGGGCCCTTGTGACTATCAGGCCAAGTGTTCCACTCAAACTCGATGGTGTCTCCCGGGTTCACGTTAGCGTAGAGACGTCCCGCAGTGGCACTCTTGTGGCAGTTCACGTCCGCTGTGCCGACGGATGCGGGCTCGACGAAACCGATGTCTTGGTTCAATGCATCCCAGCCTGCGGTCTGGGGGCGGCTGTCCTTTGAGAAGTAGTACCACACGGGGTCGGAGCCGTTGGTGAAGGTGCCCTTTACGTTGACGCCCTTGACGAAGCCGTGGGCGGATGCTGTGTCGAGAAGGGCAGCGATGGCGCCGAGGAGGAGTGCGGATGAGTACATCATGGAGAATGGGAGAGAATGGTAGCGAATGTTGTTGCTTTGATGCTGATCTGTCGCACTTATTTCTACCTACTCTTATATGTCTTCAAAGGTCTTCATAGTCTGTATGGCTTCTCATGGTATTCCCGATGAGATACGGAGCACATCGACCGATCGTATCAGGTAAGTCAAGGATCGCATAGTACTGTTAGATGACTACAAGTCATTGCCTAGGGCTTTGTGACAGCAACAGGCATAGTCGCTATGGCGAAGCATAGCTTGTTGTTCCATGGCCACACACATGCTGCCCGCCGTGTACCTTCCAAGATCTTTGATAGCTCAAAACTCCGGTCACAAGCGAAGAATCTGATATTGCTGTGATATTGGTTCCGTTTCCGAGTGCTGTTGTGGCGCAGAGCGGCGCGCTTCGCGTGTCCTGGTTTTCTTTTGGGGTAATCTATTCTCCCCGGGAAGCCGCAAGCGAGCAATTTAAATGATGTGAGAGCAGCGAATAGTAATCATATAGCGTGCACATTGAAGTCACACTCGTCACACGAGAGTGTTGTAAGGTTGCGGACGTCGAAGGGAATTTCTCCGTTGGCTCGCTACTGCTACAGCGGAAGGTGCACGTGGCGAATGAAGTACCTGCCTCGTCCATGACAAAATCTAGCCACTTCACTCCTGACAAACTTTCAGCTTTTGCCCGCTACGGAAACGTCTTACAGAGATTATGTGTAGGAATCGATATCCCAGACGCCGACAAAGGTGCTGGGTTGTGCAGCTTATCCTGGCCTGTGTCTATCGTAGACTCAAAGTTGGATGCTCGATCAAGCATATGGCTTCCAGGACTTCTCTGGCATGATGTCCCTGTCTCTGCCCAAATTGGGTCAGTGTATGTGTTCCGGACGGTATGGTAGCACCTGCGCGATGTCAACACAACCCCTTCAACATCAATAGCTTTCAGACATACCATCTCGTCCTTTGGCTCTTGATCCGGTACCGCTGTCTCCTTTTCGCTAGCCTTCTGCGCCTCGCTCTCCTCTTTGTCGCTCGCCTTCTGCTCGACCTTGACTTTGGGTTCCTTGTCGCCCACTTCCTCTTCGTCGGCCACTGTATCTCCATCGTCCACTTTCTCTTCGTCGCCCTCTTCCTCTTCGTCGCTCATCTCATCCTCTGACCACGTCTCTTCTTCTGCCTCCGCCATCTCATAATGTTGCCACATCCCAGCAGTGTATACTGCTATCGCATGAAGCACATTAGCCTCAACATCCGGAACTGGTGTGTCCTCAGGTCGTATGTCGTCTTCGAGTAAACTGTGCCTAAACGTATACAATTTAGCTCTTTCTTGGAATCATATAGAGTGTACCTGGGTACTCACTTTACTTCTTCCAAAGTCTCATGAAGTTCATCCAGCGTCCTGTTCACGGTCGGGTTTGTGCCGTTACGATGCCAGTGCTTCGTGATACGCCACATGGTTTCACCCTTGACGTAACAGGTGTATGCCTCAAGCCAGTCTTCTAAAGTGCATGCAAGCATTGTGAGACATCTCATACGGTGGTATCTAGGAATAGCGTGATGGGCGAGCAGTTTGCGCAAGGCCTCGATACACTCATCGAATTGGTGTTGTTCGCGGAGCTCAAGAGCAGCGTTGAAGCCGCTCGTGAAATGGCGATCTATTTCATCCATCGTGGCCATCTGGATCGTGTATGAGGTTGATGTGGGGATGGGTGAGAGAGATCGTATCTGCGGTTTGTGAGCTGTTGAATCTGGCTGCACGTGGCAGACAAACGCGCCAGGACTTCTTCAGGCCCTACGTCATTGTGTGGTACCTGGAGGTGAGTGACAGGTAAGAGGCAGGTACGTTGGGTGCAGAAAGCTGAGATCTGATGATAATTTACTCTCTCATATGGCGTTTCGAAGTATAAGACGTTGATTGAAGGCTCTCATGAAGGTCATTCCCTCCCACTTCTTGTCGTTCTGACCCTAGACAGTTTTCATCCAGCTCGGTTCCTCCTGCTCAAAAGACTTGAACCCTGGAGCGGGAATCTTATCAAATAGTCCACCCTTCAACGCAATCTTATCGCCAGCCAGTACAGACGTGATTGGGCTTTCTGCAGTTAGCTAGACTTCTCTTCAATGCTGCATGGACCATGAGCTCACCACCCGCAGTTGCTGCAGAATTGACGAGTAATCGGATTCCCGCTCTTCGTGTCGTTGTCTCGGTAGTTTTTGAGATACTTGTTCGGATCGTTGATTGTGACTTGGGGACTGTCGAGGATGTATACGATTGATCCGATGCTTCCTCCTGCGCGGCGGCAGTTGGCGCTTCCACGGTCAGTATGGAGATGCATGTAGAGGCTATAATGATGATGCATACCAGTAGCAAATGGCGGACTGCTCAGGCATAGTAGGCATGGAAACTTTGATGCCTCCGCAGTTGCAACGTCCCTCGGCCATCGTGATTGAATGCGGAACGGGGCTTTCTCGGTGAACAGTGTACTGGAAGTCTTATATTTTGCAATGCTGAGAGGATTGGAAGTAGACAAGCTTTGACGAGAAGATGGAAGCGAAGATCTTGCAGAAAAGAGGTGCTAGTTACTAGATTGAAGACAGGAACTGTTTGGGTCTTATGCCGTTTATCCATAGCGTGGACTTTGTGAACAGGTGGAGATGCGGAGTAGGCCTCGGCAAACTAACCAGGGCGAGTCGCTGCCAGTAACGCGCATCGTGTATTACTATCGCCGTCCAGAGTCGTGTTATTGCTTCATTCGGTCGCTGCATCCTTGGACTGGGACCCGATGATGACGCCTCGAAAGAGGCATGCTTCCAATGGCGAATGATCCTTGACTACCTCCAGGGCTATCTACGTAGGTACCGGGTACTCAATGGGAGCTTGGTGACATCCCTGACGCGGTCAGTTGGGGAAACCTTCTGTATTCCATGACAAGACGGGGTAAATGGCCTCTATAGACTCGATGAACCGATCGGCATTCTGATAGTGCTGTTACTGATCCGTCGCACAGAGGCTTCGTGTATAGTGGAGTGTGTAAGCATTACTCATCCTCTCGTCCTCAAAACAAACAGTACGGCAGCTGATGGAAGGCCTTTCATAGATGATGTTGTAGAGAAGATCACTGAGACGGAGTGAGGTTGAAGCATAATATGCGTAATCCTCAGAGGCATCCGGATCAGGCTAGCGCGCCATTCAGTCCTAACGCGGCGCGATTCCGCGTCTACAAACATTGACCTGAACAACACGACGATACCACTACAAAGCAATACCAATACTTCACACGCCTTCGCAGACCTCTGAAGCCAGAGTCCTACCCCAAAATGGTAATTGAAAAGCCTCTTGTCTCAAGAGGAAGCCCCATATTAACCCCCACAGACGCGCGACTCAACAGCAACCTACCTCCACATGCACTCGTCGCACCACGCCGACCTCCTCGAGCAATTCACCAACCTCACCTCCTCGCAACTCACACCAGAAGACATCTACATCCCGCCGCACCTGCAACCCGTAAACCCCGAAGACGAAGACGACGTCGTCCCAGACCAACACGCCGCGTTCGGCATCCAGCGAGCGACACAGACAAAGAAGGAGCCGACGTGGCGGGATCTAGGTCTTGATGAACTACTAAGGAGAGGTCCCATGGTCGGCGGAAGCGGGAGTGGTAGCGGAACGGCGGTTGCGAGCGGTGGTGGGATTGTTGGACAGGGAAGAGAGGAGCCGTTGAGGTTGGCTTTGGCTAGGCAGCCGGGTGCGAGGATGGGGGTTAGGACGGGGAATGGGAGTGGTGAGAGTTCTGGGAGTGGGGGAAGTGGTGCCAGTGGTGCTGCTGGGAATGGATTGCCGCGATGAAAGGAGACTATACACTGAAGGGCAAGCACCGAAAATAGCGGCAAGACACATTCTTCAACTTTGCGAAACAAGTTACAGGCAGTGGGCAGGTAGTAATGGTGCCCTGGCTGGAGCTGCCATACCGACATCTGGAGGCCGCTCGGACAGGGAGATTCGGCGACGGCTTCACAGCCTACTGCGATCGCCGATGAAGGCCATACGAAGTGGCAGCGTTCTGCACATACCCAACACTACGGATGGCTTTATTGGGACTCACTGCGCGAGAAGGGTTGACATGGAACGAGCGTGGAAGACCAACTTATTCGCGTAGGGTCCAAGACTCGCGCTGTGTCTCTGGCTAAGGCGTGAACAATTCGCAAATGGATAGGACAAACTTCCATTCACAGGATTCAATACAGCATGATGAGATCACGGACATCATATATGGCACAATAACTGACGAAATGTGAACGATTTTCGTGAAATGCTTCACGCCATGTCTAGATGATGGGTTTATAATCAGACTCCTCTCAGCCCACCTGATACATTCGGACGCCCTCCTCTGTCCTTGTAGTATCAACGCTTACTTGCTGTGTACGCAGGCACATCAACCTACGTGCGCGCTCGCAGTACGCTTGCCAAACAAACACTGCCTTGATCACGCACCACACATAGTGCCGCCAACGCATCCGGCCGACACCTCCGTTGGCCTGAGGCATCTTCTCTTGAACAATTTTGTACATCAATGCCCGCGCTAGAGCCTCCCAGTTTGCGCATCGACCGCAGCCGTCACCTACTGTGCCCTCAAGATCCCTGATACGGTCGCACACGAGCCGGTACATCTCAAAAGCATCTGTGTGTTTGGCGAGTGGTGCGTCAGGGCGCCCGAGAGACCTGAGGTCGTTGAATCGAGGTTCAGCCGTTACGAGCTGTACTGGGTTGTGTCGCTTCATGTACGAGGGATCTTTGGGTACCCCCTCCTCCTGTCGCAACGACTGATAATGGAAGCGACGAGCAACGTTGATCATGAAGATGGGTAGGTCATGGATCATGGCTTTTGCATTCCACTGAAACGGCATCGGCGCGGTAGTGGTGAGCAGTCCTCGAGTCTGCAGGTTGATGATTCGATACGTCTCCTTTGCCAGAGATGTTGGTATATGAAGGGCTAGAGAGAGGCCCTGGATGCCGACATCGTGTCGACCGTCGTCTGTGTTCTCTAGTTCATAGAGGAAGGGAATCTCAATCGGCTCGCGACACATGGGGCAAAGACATTTTCGCTTTCTTTTGAACCACACACTCAGACAAGAAAGGCAGAAGACATGTCCACACGGTGTCCGGATGGGTTCGACGGTTTGTTCGAGGAAGGTCTTCCTGTATGCTCCCGGTAGTTGGCTAAGGAAATCCAGATGTGTTTCGACGCCTGCACCGATGCTTCCATATTCTCGACCACAGACAAAACACGTCGGCTCATCCCGTGGTGCTTCCGTGGGTGTAGAGACGGCGAGTACGCGGTCAACAACGTCTTGGTAGGTGGCAGATGATGAGCCCATGTTCGGTTGAGGTCTATAGTTGTATAAACGCATTTAGACTACTGGGTAGCCCATTTATCCTCCATGGCTCTGGGTTGCCACCAACGAACAGCAGAACTCCTGGTTACATTGAATGATCGCAGACGGAGTCCAGTCGCCACAGCCATTCACCTTCGAGCTGTTTAGCCCAGGCGATGTATGATGCTATGCATGTAAGTGTTCAACCGACACAGCTTTCAATTATTCGTGTATAGCTCGTAATGTAGTGTTAACAGTGGGTGTACTTGGTATATAGCATGTGAATGCTGAGTTGAGACAAATGTGCTGCTCAGTCATCCGTCAGATCAATACACTCAACCCCCACTGGTACCTTATAAGTACTTGTTGGTTGTTTGTTTGGCATGACAGCAAGCGAAGAAGTACGTGGCTCGTTTGCGTCCTTGGCAGGGTCGGGAGATGTCGTTGCGAAGTGTCGAAGCCGAGCAGCGCGTATCTCAGCTGCGGTAGGTGCAGGAGATGGTGTAACTTGATCTTCTATATTTGGATTCGAAGGTAGCGTTGCAGACACTGGTAATAGATTAGCGCGCGGAGGAGGGCGCGACCAGTCAGGTAGGTCGACTGGTTCCCTTCCTATAAGACCTGCGTGAACACCCCTCATTGGCATGCTTGATATGCGCGATTCATTCTCCACTCGTCGAGGATTTTGAGAAGCTCTGGAGGGCACGGCCGCGCTCAGTGCTTCATCAAGCGACCAAGCAGGTACAGAGGCCCCGTGTACATCTCTGCCGGCTTCTCTCATTGCGAAGATGCTTTCGTATCTGCCACGATTTGAAGACGGTAAAGTGGAAGGCCTTTGTATTGGGGGTATCTTGGCGCCTTGATCTTGCATGCTTAGCCGCAAAGCTAACTGCAGCTCTTCGTCTTCTTCATCCGGGATATCGAATGGCAATGTGTTTGCTACAGGATTTCGGAAAGGATCCGAAACGGGTGAATCGTTCCCCTGATCTGACGGCTCAGGCGAACCGAGATCGATGATATGAGATGTCGTCGGCTGATTCAATGCAGGTTCTTGAGAGCGAGCGTTGGCTGGTAGAGAAAGCCCACCCTCATCTTCAGAGTCCGAGAGTGCAATATAATCGAAGATCTTTTGTGCTGTGGGCGTCATTTGCGTATCTTGAGACTTGGCCTTTGCAGCTGGTCCTCTGGATTTCCTGGGGGATGCACTGTATGTAGCCCGGGTAGCGGATATATCGTCTCTTTTGTTCGTACGTTTTCGCTTAGCTGTGCCTGAGGCTTCGCCGTCTTCCCCAACTTCAGCTATTGGTCGCTTGCGTTTTGGCGTACGCTTTGGTGGTGCAGGGGGCGGTTCCAGTACGTCCGGCGGAAGAACTTTACGCAGCCAGTACTCGGGATATTCGCATTCGACACGATGCTCTGGGTCAAACAAGGTCTGCTTGTCTCCATTCCAGCACCCTAAGCGCTCACCTTCGAAGTCGGCTCTGCTCAGGGTAGTGACGCCAAAGGGTGAAAAGGTAAGCTTACGTTCGAAAGTGCGCATGGTCAGTTCGTTGTCGGTCTTCTTCGCTTTTTGCTTTGTGAGCCTGATGCCGTGGACCAGTTCTTGCGATAGAGATGGATCTCTTGCTATCAGGCTTCGTGTCAGCAGCACAGGCCCAACCCAGTTCATGTATAAACGTCCCCATATGTTGAAGCGCTCGCTGGTAAGTGTAAGCAACTTCAGCTCCTGGATCGGGCGAAGATAGTCAAGGTTGAGGCGCGACTTGCTAAGTAAATCTGTGTCGCTGGTGACTTTCGGTTTGTAGTACTTCTGTAAGGTCTTGAAGTCTGGGAAGGCTGGCGGGATTTCGATAGCGCGCCCGCGAGCACTCCGCTCCAGGAACATGGCCAGCTCCACAGTCCACATGCCGCACTCCATCTGATCTCGACAGGCACAAAGCCGCCGACCGAGTCCTTGCTTGACTGCCTGCAAGGCTAGAGCCGGCCCACACTGTGGTAGACCTTTCACGTCGTAGTCACCACCTACAAGCATGGCAAAAAGCACCAGCCCTTCTCGGTCTAGGCCATATTTCTCTTTAAGGTCGTGTGCTCGTACAACGTTGGCGTATTTCCCATTCTTCTTGGTGTTCTCCTTGGATCTGTCTGTTGTGCCCTTTTCTTTCGCAACACGGTGATCCCGTAGCCAGAGGGTGCAGCCAAACATGAGGCAATCAGAGTCTTGCGACCAGACCGCGTCAACCATACCCAAAATCTGCAGACGAGCGCACTCCGCCTCCGCCTCTCCTGGGGCCTCGTGGTATGGGATCCCAAAGTATTGCAGCATCTCCTTGAGCAAGCGCTGCTCTTCGTAGTTTATCCGTCCTCCACCTCGCTTTCCCCGCTTCCAAGGTCGACCGGGGCCATCGAAGACGAATATAAGCTGAACGTTTAGGGTGAGGAGGCGGCAGATACGGTAGAACATGGCTTTCTCGATGCCTTGGTAGGCGTACTCGTTGGAGGTCTCCCATATGGTGTAGACTTGCTGCACCGTGAGGTTGTTGAAGCGCCAATCGGCCTCGTCGACAGCAATGCGGAGTGATCTGCCATGACGCCGGTGATGCTCTTCGGCGAGCTGCGCGACGGGTACGCTTTCTTCGTGCTTCTTAATCGTGTCCCATAACCTGTTCTGGTATCAGTAGGAGCTCAAATCCCAATTGGTCTGGAGGCGTACGCTGGAAGGCCCATGACGTGGGTGTGGGGAAGATGGGAGGTCGGCTAGCAGACCGTTGCATCCGTGGACGCGTCTTAGCGCGATTGGCGAGGATTGTATGGCAGGCTGGGGCAGCTGATGCTAGGTAGACGGTGGGCACATCTGCTATGTAGCGAGTCTCAGTTGGACATCGCACGCTGGTCCAGATGGCAGCAGCAGTCGTACCAATGGAATGTGGCGCGGTCGACCGTCGTCCAATCTCCTTATCGCTCCTTCCAAAGTTCCATTGCTCGACGCGAGAACACGTGATTTGCCTTTTCAGTCTAAGCGCCATTCGCGCATCCTCCAAGGCTCAATCCATCTCAGTACTCACTCTTTCACTTCATCTTGTCAAGTTGCGTATCATGGTCACGAAAATAGTACATTGTGGCTGGCTTATAGTTCACAGTCCACCTCGAACGCCCCTTCCAAATCATGCCACAGCTCACTCTCCAAAAAGACGCTCATGTCGCTAACCCGATCTTGCGCACTTTTGCGTCGCAGCTTCAACGCCTCTCCCAAGATATTCGCCGCCGAAAGGGCCATATCCGATTTTCGACCCAAAAACCATAACGCCTTAATACAAGCATCCGCGCGTTGAAAAGCATCCTCTCGATCCAGGTCTGACGGCAGCAGAGTATCTGACTCAAGCAACAGTACGCCTGCCTTGGCGAACGCGCGAATCAACACTACAGTCCATGGCTCCGTCAGCAGTGCGCCTTCGTTGACTGCGAAATGGAACTCGGACTGTGCGAATGATGCGTCTTCTCGCGGGCATGCACAGCTCGCTAGGTCTGACAGGACCCGGCATTGGTTCTCGCGGAATTTTGCGATGAAGGCACTGATGTTTCGTTGATGTGTCGCTTCCTCAAGTCCAAGCTCTGATTCGTCTACCACTTCCATCAAGTCCGCAAGAAGGAGAGTCGCAAGGTGCCAGTGTCCGGTGACGCATACGTACCATGATTGGACGCGCGGTGGAAGGCGGTCGTGGTTCTGTATGCAGTCTCGGACGAAGGGCGCATACAGCGCATCCCAGTGGTTACACACGTCCATTGCGGCACTGACAGCCTCTTCGACCTTCGCGCCTCGTGCGTTTCTTGTGAGAAGCGTCTGGATCCGACAGACTCGTCTGAACAGCAACACCTTGACTGGGGCTGCGTCACACAACGCAGCTGCGGCTTCATCGAATGAGCATGGCCATCTTGTGGGCGCATGTTCTGGATTCTGCTGTTGTCGAGAAAACAAGTAGTCGTCCCACAGTCCGTCGTCTGTCGAGGAAGGTGTTGCCGCTTGTTGGGCCGAGTGCTCAATCTGCATGCTTTCGCTCATGACTACATCGCTATCTTCATCTGATACCACCAGTGGTCGTTTGTGCATGGCTGCTGATAGCGTGTCGAACATGACACCGACCCAGAACAGGAGGTCCACTGTCGCACGATCAGCGTCTTCAAGACGCACAACGGGCGAGCGTCGTTGCCGTGCAGAGCGCCCCGGTCCGGGGTTGCTATACCGCGCTTCTCTCGACATGGTCATGCGCGACCTCAACGAGTGAATGAGGCGAAGACCTGATTCAAGATGTACGGGAGGTCCGTCGGACTCAATAGCGAGATCCAACTTCGACATCAGATCTGCGCACTCATCGACATCCTGATCGGTCGAAAGCATAGGGGTCTGTTCCATCGGGACTTCTGTGCAGGCGTCGGTCGCTAGCAGTTCGGTCTTCGAAAGAGCTTTCTGCTCATCCTGAGCCCCGTCTGCATCCACAGGCCGTTGTGTCAGGGCGAAAATGATCTGTGCAAGTACCACTCGGAAGGACTCCACTTCACCAGCTTTTTGCAGTGCGTTGCGGGCCTCATGCCATGCTGATATCTGCAGAGTGCGATCAAAGTTCACGCCAGCCGGTGCGCAATCGTCCTCGATGCTATCAAAAACGCTACTGCCACCATCGGTCGAGGTGCTGTGGAACGGGTACTTCGTTCTGCTTCTGGGACTGGACTGTGCCCATTGTGAAGCGAAGGAAAAGACCGCCAAGTCTAGAGCTCTAGATGCTGCGCGGTCTTCCATTTGAGTAAGCTTGCGCCCTCTGATGGCTGAGGCTAGCCTATCGAGGCGCACCACTCTGTGATAGATTCGATTCCAATCAGGCTTAGCGTTTGTGGCTAGCAGGTTATCCGATTTTGCACTGTAGGGACAGGTTCTTTCTGTGACCCAGCATGCAAGTGCGTTTTCGAAACTATCATGATAGATCCTCAGCAGGCTTTCAGTCAGATACGCATTGTTGCTTGATGAAAGAAGATCGCTGGCATATGATATCACTGGGTAAGGTTGCGCACCGTTTGAGATTGATGCTGAGGAGCTAGAGCGTCGCCGTTTGAGACTAGTACGAGCGATCGTTCCATCCGATATGGTAGAAGGCGGATTACTTGGACTTATGCTGCTGGTGTCCTGACTCTCAGAGGGGCTGTCGCGTTCGAGCTTATCATCGCTGATCTCCGATGTTGTCTTCAGAGACGAGCCTCTGCCAGAGTCGCAACCGAGTATAGTCCAGCTTTCTTCGGCAAACCCTCCAGCGAGTTCTGGTTCATCTCCGGTCCCTTCTTTCTCGAATACTTGCGATGGTTCTTCAAAGAATGCGATTGTAGGATCGGTGGTGAACATGGATGAGCCACACGGAAAATCTCCAAACGTCACGCCCAGTTCCACGGGCGTGGTATGGGACAGAAGGTCATCGCCGTGCGGATTCCGGTCTTCTTTTAGTTTCACGGTTGCGCTGGATTGGCACGATAGGTTTGGCTTCTGTGCTCGGCTGGTCGAATTGCTTCTTGTGCGGCGCCTTTTCGCTGGCGGTGAAGTTGTCGACACTGGTTGCGAAGCTTGCGACACGCGTTGTGACCGCAGCCATTCGAATGTGCAGCTCTTTTTTGTCTTCTCACAATTACCGCACGAAGCTAGCGGCCCATAAACGTCTGACAGGTTAGCTTGCGCGTTAGGTACCATCGACGAAGGCATGTCTTACCACTATAATGGAACACCGTAGGGGTTGCTCCAGATTTGCTCGTTTCTAAAAGAGTGTCTTCTAGAATTGCGGCGTCGCACGCTCTTTTCCCTTTTCGACATTGGTCGCAGCATCTGTTCTGTTTCCGACTCGTTTTGGACGGTTTGGTGGCTGCCATCGCCCCCGAAGATGGCGACGTCCAGGCATAATCGAGGAACGACTTTGGTTGCACGTCCACGAAGTTCATGGCTGCTGCTCGGATTGTCAGTCGAAAAGAGGGAAAAGCACGAGAGGTCTGCTTATGCAAAGAGGCAAGTGCGTTGCTGATATGCACACCCCGCGTCGCCGGCTAGGACCCACATCCCAACACAGAAATGCGGGGAAAGCTAACGCGTGGCAGGGCACAACGATGCTCAACGCAAGCTTCAGTCCGGCTCATCACTGACGATTATGGATGCTGCATGGCCGTTTCTGTCGATCGAAGCTATTCCATCATATGTTCCTTGTCTTGAGTTGCCTGTTTCTCCCCAAAGGAAGCACTGCCTCTTCCATTGTAACGGCATCCAGACAGCTCACGGGACAGCTTGTACCGGACGCTCGGTCTGACCTAGGCACTATTCTCTGAGCCTGCAGCCATCCTTGTTATAATTGGTCCCTCGACTGGCGATCGGACTGTTCCGAAACTTTCGAGGCAGGCTACTTACGGAGAACGAGCATCGGATCGGCCCACACAGGCAGCCACGGAAGGCTTTCAACGTCTTTGCCAGCACAAAAGACCGCTCGAATCGCAGCTCAAACCACAGGTTCTTTACATGTTCATGCGCCGTATGTGTTCATGGCTTATCTCTCGCCCATATGCAACCCTGTATGCCACACATGACGCTAAAAAGATGTGGGGGTGTGATGTGCACTACACTCATAGCATAACTCAAGGTTTCTCGACCCAACATTACGGTTTTGACGTTTCTCAAAGAGTGTACCAAGAGAGCAAGAAGATCGGCCGGTCCTCAGGGTGCAATTTGACGCGAGTTTCGATATGAAGACAATGACGATCACGTCCATCCGGCCGAATCCGACAAAACAAAACGGACCGACTGCATAAGCAGAGTCACCCAACATGACATACGATCAAGCCCCCAAGGCTTTGTAGATCTGCGTCTCAACGTCGAACCACAACCCAAGCACTTTGGGATCGCCAAACGGCAGGATCTGACTGCAAACGATCCCGCCGACTCCCTTCTCTCTGTCACACCACCACCAGCAGTTCGGGAGCCCAGCCCAGAACCCAGTACTCTTGGACCGACCAGTCGGGCCTCCGTTGGACAGCATGAACGTCAGACCCCAGCCTTGAGGAGGCTTACCCTCCACTGGGTATATGTCTGGAATAGCGTTTGTGAGGTCAGGCTTGGCCGCTGGGATTCCCTGACGACCAAAGTCGGGGAACTGTGATATCTGATTCGTGAACATGAGGTCTACCGTCTCTTTCTTGAGGAGTTGGACGCCGGTCTTGGCCGACTTGCCGTCGTTGAGGAGCGTTGCGATGATTTCTTAAACTCTGTCAGTGGTGTCGTATACATATTGCTTTATGGGCAACTTACGCGCATAGTCGGATGGTGTTGCGAAAGCACCTGCGCCTCCGCTGTTCAGGATGCCGCCAATCTCGTTGCTCGAAGCTTTCAAGGGCTTGAGGAGTAGATGGTCTCGCTCGACCAAGCTGCCATCTTGGTTTCGTTGATGCATGGACGCCAGCCGCTTCTTCATATCCTCGTTGGGGAACATGGTTATGTTCTTCAACCCTAGCGGTTCGTAGATGTTCTTCAGGCAGTAGTCGTTTAGCGACATGCCAGTCTTGCGTTCGAGAGCCAGGCCAGCGAAGTCGATGTTTACGCCGTACTGCCAGCCCTCGCCCGGTTGAAAAGTCAGCGGCTGAAGTATGTCCTTGACGTCCCCGGAGAACTCATCAAACCCGTCCAATACGGCACACAGAGATTCGTTGAAGAATGTGTAGCCAAAGCCAGCTGGAGGTTATGATTAGCGAGATGATTCAACTTTGCGAGGACGGCCTCGTACCGGTATGTGTCAAGAGCATTCTCAGTGTTATCTTCCTCTTCTTGTCCACCAGGCTGCCATCCTTTTGCAATACTTTCGTCTCTTTCAGCTCCGGAACCAACCTCTCTAACTCATCCCCATCATCCAGCTGTAGCTGTCCTTGCTCAACAAGCTGCATGCAGGCAAGCCCGGCGATCATCTTAGTGCAAGATGCAATCCAAAACACGTTGTCGAGAGTCATGTTCTCGTTGCTTGCAACCCCACGGTGACCAGCGGCATGCGCAAAGAGTTCTTCGCCATCTTTCCCTACAACAACGACGCTAGTTCCTGGGATAGATGTCTTTGGATCCGCGCAGGCTGCATCAACGGTCTGCCTCAGGTTTTGGACGACTTCAGTGGGCAGCGGCATGGTGAGATATTATAGTGGTACGGGTTTACAGAAGAAGTGCTTCGCGTATTCGGTAACACAGTAGGTGCTGTCGGTATGTACTTTTGGTACATCTATATACCGGTACATGATCTGCGGCACCGGACGTGCGGGCGTGCGGGGTGATTGCCATTCGGTGTCGACATCGGGTACTGCCCCTCACGTCGCACATCGTGACAAAGTCTAAACGTTGGCAATGAAACTCCAACTAAGAACTCCAGCCATGAAAATCATCCTTTGAGTTTCACGCATAGGCAGGCCAAAACGAAAGCGATGTAAGCTCTCGGCGGGTGCGGGCTACAGCGCGCGACGACAGCTAGCGTGCTGAGCTGGAGCTCGGCCGAGGCTTCTGCAAGCATCCAAGCGCACCTAGGTACGTTTGCGACTTGTCTGCTTTCGCAGATCTGGAGTCGTACTATACTACCTTCTCTGAGTAGGTCGCGGGGAATACTTGAGATCTCACCGACTCTGGCTAGCAGTGCTTAGCTGAATGTCACTAAATGTTTGCTCAATCTGGTTCCTCCAGCTGTTTAGTGTACTTCCCATGACATGCCCTCGTCGAGCGTCTTCTTCATGCCCATCTATGAGGGTCACTCAGTTTACATCCTCGGATGATGTGCACGTTGGAACCAAACGATGATGTGGCATAGCGTTTAGTTGAGAGTCTATCGAAAAAAGAGGCTGATTATCTTGAATGAGCGGATGACTACTCTGAAAAGTCCGCCTTCTTCGCTATGATAAGAGTAGAAGTACTCTGCTTCTTCATGGCCACTTAATTAGTGCGCAGACGATCCACGGTCATTCGCGGAGTCCAGCATGGCCTCCCCTGACTCCATAGCGATACAAGTCAGATCGTGCGCGAGTGCTGAGTCCTTTCTTCCATCTTTCCAGACCTGTCACAATTCGTTCCTATGCGCATATCGATCTCAGCCATTCTTTCCTGCATGGCGGACACACGGTTTTTGTAATTGCCCATGAATTCGACGACAACTAGAAGAATGTTCAGGCAAGTAGCGACTGCCAATGATACGAAAGGGCGTACAGCCATGGGCCCGCCAGGAGTAAGTACGCCCGAGGCATCGAAAACACCATACGATGTACAACCAGTACATATTGCAGGAGGAACTGCACTCAAGTATGGATGAGCGAAGGGGTTGGCGAAGGTTGTGACATTCGGGGAACCCAACGTCGAGACATTGTAAGTCCTATGAGGTCCCAATTCACCTTGATCTTCTGTATCGCCTGTCTCTATATCTTTGAATACATGCCATCCCATGCAGAGAACGAGGCCCGCCAGTTTGAGGATAATGGCTAGCATGATACCAGATCGAATCGGAAGGACCGTGGTCCAGTCTGTTGATCCAGGGTTCTTGCGATGCATATTCGCTCCGTAAGCTATGATGAAAAGAGCGAGGATAACTAGCGATAGACCAAGCTTCTGTGCATAGCGCCACGGGTAGCGTTGTATGATGTTTCTCCAGAAGTTCTCCTCGCTAATCATTCCGAAAACGTCTATCGTTGCTGGATCTACTTCGACCGCACGTCGAAAATGTGTATCCTTAAAGAAGTACCAGCCCATGCAAGCGCCGATACCAATATAGACTAGGAACGTACCCACAACGCCGACGAGAATGTTCGAGCAACCGATGGCTTTATCCGGATAAGGGTCCATCGTCCAGTAATCAAACGAGTGAGAGAACGTGAGACCTCCAAGAAGAATTGCATATAGACCAGGTATGTAAAGGTATCGCCACGGTAGGTTGTTGTGGACTTTGAGCGTTATGCGGTTTGATGGTAAGGTGTCTTTCATGGTTGGATGTGCAATTTGTTGTGATTGGAATGATCTTCTGGTGAATTCAAGCACTTAGAGAACTTGAGCATTAGTAGTGCGTTTACAAGGAGGTGCCGAGATACCGCAACGCCTGTATGAGATCTCCTTCATACGTCATCTGACTCCTCGAAGAATACGCGCGCCTATGAAGGATGCAGCTTTGATGAAGGCGGCAATGCGGCAATGCGGCAACATGACATCGCGAGAACAGAGGATATCAGGCGACTGGTATTCGGGTAGGTCGGTCCTTTGCGAAGGTGAAGTCGTTATTGGCCTCGGGTGGTGCAGGCGCTGCAGGCTCGGCGCATTCCAGTTGATCGCATGTCGCAATATTCGAGACAGAACCACGACCCCAACTGCAAAGCTTATCCTAGATCATGGTACACGCTTGCTCATTAGCCTTCAGCCCATACCGCCAGACGTAGAGGTGCGCGTACAGTCATCGAAGGTTTGGTGGTCGCACAATGATCTCGAGATAGCGATGGGCGCCCCATCTGGCAGCGCCAAGCTAAGCAACACCCAGTTGGCAGGTACAAAGCCACAAAGCCCGCGGAGCGCGACCGTGTCACTGCATCACTGGTTATGTGCGTTCGCGTCTTCTGTCACTACGTACATTTACGACCTTACTCCGTTACAGCTCGACGCAGCGAAACCTTGGCGAACCTTTGTCGCAGGGAATAGCTTCAGCCGTCACCCCTGCATCTTCGCGCGCGCGCACACACAATTCTACGAAAACTCTTCCTCAATCCACCACCAGGGTAGTGGGATCAATGAAAAGCTCGAAAGCAGACCAGCAAAAATTGCCCCGCCGAGATCCCCGAAGGAAGCTCGTAACAGTCCCATACCGCGCTGTGCAATGCAGACGAGACTGTTAGATGAACCCAATCTTTGAGCTGGGTCATCGCAAGAAGGTAAGTATGCGGAATAAAAGAGGAGGGAACAGCGGTATTTAAGCACTCAGGAGAAGGGCCAGTGCTGGGTGCATGTGACCTTTGCACTAGAGAGGCTGACCGCTCTCTGGCGTGTGCGGAAAACACTGCATTGTGGTCCAGCTCCACCGGGCATTGCTTCCGGGTGGCCTAAGCGGTTGTGTTCCGTCTCTGCCGAAGCGGCCATCGTGAAGATTCTCCCAAGCTTTTCCAAGGTCTGTTCTTGGCTGAACGTCATCGAATGTGGAAGAGCGATGAATTCGATGAACAATTTTCACACGCGTCGGCCAAGAGTCGGCATCTACGATACGATCGAGCAGACGGGAGATCAGATCGCGTAGACGATGGAGTATAAGTTGCTGGTCGCGGTGGAACCGCAGAGCCAAGTTACGTCTAACCAAACTCCTTCAGAATGATCTTTGGTGGTGCAGGCCGGCTTTCTCTCCTTGCGTTCGCATCGTGCGTCTCGCTTGGTAAGGCAGCAACACTGTTTACAGATGAGACAGTAATCGGTTGGGACTTTTCTGCCAATTATCTCGATGTTATCCTTGTTCACATTCCTTACCTCGTTAAGAAGTTCCCCAGGGGCCCGGTTCTAGAGTATCGGCAGGACTAATTTCGATCAGCTTTCCTACGCCTAGTAGCTATACCGCTTTATTCTATTCCTCTATTATTAAGATATTAAGAAAGAAGCAACTATAGACTGTTAGAGAGGTATTAAGTATAAGTTTCTTTATTTATGTATTATAAGGTAGCAGAGTCTTTATATCACCTATTTAAAAACATAATTAGATACTACTTAAATAATGCACGTCTAGTGCTTCTGCACCCTGCTTTGTAATACTATTGGCTTAGCAATTGCAAGAAGACGCCTTAATATGACGATGATGCCAAGATGCGGTCACGTTCTGCAGACTTAAAGAGCAAATACAGTCGAACGGGGCACAGCTAACTGTTATTACAAATGCGATATAATGTAGAGTAATCATGAAGTGCAAGGTGCGTGAGGTAGACGTGTGGGGGAGGTTCTCGACATATTCGGCACATGTGCTTCCGAAGCTTTCCGCGTTTCTTTCATAAGCAGACCCCATCCACTATTCTTCTCCTCTCTAACAGGAGGTAGCGCGGAACAGAGCAGACTTGCTAAGCCATTGGTTGGTTCTGGCCGAGCTGTTGGTTTGGATACATCATGTTCCGAGGAATCGGCTCTTACGCTACTCGCATGGCTGCAGTCACACATGGGATCGTGGGGTTCGGCTCTAGTGCGGAGAGCTCCACCAGCCGAAACCTCCGGTCCGACTAGGATGGTCCTGGTGTCCTGGAATGGCGCATCGCATCTACATTACAAAGCTGACTGCCAAAGTTACCCGTATATAGCCCATAGCCGCCCTTACTTCGAGACTTAGCATCAAACAAGTATTAACGAGACGACATGGACGCCTTCCAGAAAAAGACACTGAAGACCTCGCGAGGGTACACGTACACTTACTACGTGGCTAACGGCGATAAGTCACTCCCAACTCTCATCTTCCATCATGGCTGGCCTGACCATGCGGCAATGTGGAAAGATGTTGCCACAGGCCTCCGGTCAACCAACCATGCCATGATCATCCCAGACATGCTTGGTTATGACGGTACAGACAAGCCAACCGATCCCGCGGAATACCGATTCGACAAGATAACGAAAGATATCACCGAGATACTCGATGCCGAAGGCTCGCCAAAGGTTGTCTCAATTGGTCACGACTGGGGCTCGGAGGCCGCTTCTCGCCTGTACAATTTTTATCCTGATCGAGTCGTTGGCCTTGTTAACCTTAACATTCCGTACATGCCTCCCACCGGTGATGAATTCGACCTTGACAAGCTCAACGCCGTAACCAAAGAGAACCTTGGCGTAGCGCTGTTTTCCTACTGGGAAGTTTTTGCCGCCCCAGACGGTCCCAAGCTGCTGTACGAAAACCTTGAACGCACATACCGTGTGCAGCACGGTGAAGGAAAAACATTGACCGAGATTTGGACTGTTCCCAACGCGATGAGGGAATACCTCATCAATGGCGGTCACGAACACGGTTTGCGCCCGTACGCCCAGGATCCAGTGTTCAAGAAGACGTTCATCGACCGTATGACGCGCGATGGCTTTGAGGGCCCACAGTGCTGGTATGTCGCTAAGAAAGACAATCATCAGAGTGCAAGCGACAAGATCTTGCCTCCTGAGAGCAAGGTGGTCAATGTGCCGGCATTGTACCTCGGGTGCAAAGATGACCCTTTTTGTCGGCCGGAGATCATAGCGCCGTACAAGGCAGAGTTATTGCCGCAATTGGAGGAAGCGGAGGTGATTGATGCGGCGCATTGGGTATCATACGAGGCGCCTGACGATGTTGTGACGAGGATCGCGCCGTGGTTGAAGAAGAACTTCGGGCAGCCAGAGAACGCCTGCAGGGATGTAGAAAATTCGGCTATGCAAAGGTCAAGGTAGTTGCGGACGAGTGATGACTCCACAGAATATTCCAGGGTTGTGGCAGCGGCCGAGAGTGATGTTCTTCTGTAGAAGTCTGTTTCAAGTACTTAGATTTAGACAGGTTTCCGACTTAATAGCCGAGTCTAATGTACAGCATAGCTACACTTAAGAGCTTAGCATAGGCTACTAAACTTGAAAAGATTATTAGCGAGGTGGTTCCCGAAAGGCCTGTTACAGAGACGCTCCTCACACTCAAACTCTTTCTGTTTCCATGGGACGACCCAACCAGTCGTACCATAGCTGTAAGCCACAGCTTTGATCTGGGTTGTCTGGAAGTCAACTTGATCGACCACGTTGGAGGATATGCTGCGCAATACAATTACTGGGGTGCGCGCCTTCGGATCTTGGTTGGGGTGTTGGATGACCGAAAACAATGCCGATCGATGGCCGCGTGGCTCAAGCAACGGAGCCTGCTAGAGCTCGCGACACTGGCAACGCTTTTCCTAGGAGTGATTGCGATACTTGTTGCGATTTCCTCTGTAGCTGTGGAAGCGTGGAATGCTCAAGGCAAAGACACCTGATTCACGCTTGTAGTCGCGATTGCGTAATTGTAATGAAGAAGAACCACTAGGCACCAACGCCACGAGCCGATAGTAAAGAGGATGCGATAGTCCATGGAAGCGTTGCAATATACGCGACAGCGAAGATGTGACGTCGTCGCGTTCGTGGTTGCAGTGATGTTGCCTTTGGGCAGTCGCAATACAAGCCCGCGCGAGCGCGAAGCAGAGTGTCGCGCACGCAAATGCCGAGGTCCAATAATGATCGCCGCACCAACGCCACGATTTCGCACCCTTGCCACCCGCGCGATTCCAGACCCTCTGCACCGCCACACCCGCCATTTATCATCCAATCTACCCTCTTCCATCCCATTCTCTCCCCATCACATCCACACCCACCCGTCCCATCCATCTCTACCAACAGGCGGCAAGACACGACACAATCAGGCATCAGGACACGTAACACGTTGCACCAAACGCGCTAACACGCTGTCACATGGCCTGGCATGGCGCCCAATCAGGTCGAGACAACGACGTTGTTGGGTTGTTGGGCGAGGAGTAGAGGCGGGTGGGAGTCATACTTTCGTTCAACGTGGCTGCTGTGGCTAAATTTTGCCTCAGCGGAATGTTACCCAAAACTTGAAGCTGAAGCATGTGTTGAGGCGATGTGACTAAGAAGGCGAAAGTCCGTTCGGAGTCCGTCGGATCATGACATCGAGAAGGCAACAACCGTAATCACAATGTTTGATGGAAGCATAAGCCGGAAGCTATGGAAGGCGCTTTTTAGAGCGCAAATGACGTGATGCTACGCAGTGCATACTCTGGTTCTCGCGATGCACCTCGTACTCGGATATCACACCCGTAACGGCATGAATAGCGGCACGGTTGCCTGGGCATATGCGAACGTCTGTCTAGGCAGATAGCGCACGCGCCCTTCTGCCGTAAGACATCGCGGGTAAGGCAATCCTGCTAGGCACCAAGGGCGTTGCGAACGAGGCTAAGGTATGCATTGTTTTTTGGGGGCCAAAAGCCAAACTCAACCTCATACCGCGGCAGACGAGAAGATCACCAAAAGTGCAAGAATGAAGAGGGTTCGAGTGTTTATCTTTTAAATTACAGTACAATAGTTTAGAGTGGCATATTCCATCTATAGATTTGAGCGAGGTAGCATCTGTCCGTATCCCCCCTTCCTTCCCCTATCCAACCCATTCCATCGCAGTCTTTGGTATCATAGCTATCGTGGGTGAACATGTGCCAGCCATGCGTAGAGTGCGTAAGTAGTAAAGAGATATTACAGTTTAGGGGTGTTACAGGGAAAACAAAAAACGCTCAAGTGATATGTACAGTGAGCGACAGTGAAGTTATGGAACAGAGAATGAGGCTAAGTGGAAGAACGCCGGGAAATGCATCGAGTGACAGCAACGCAAAGTTATCGTCATCACCTATGACTCTGTTGAAGAGCCATGACTGCCTGCTCGAGCTGCCGTAACCTCGAGTCCTTCTCCTCATTCTCTTGTCGGAGACGCTTGATCTCAGAGCGCATCTCATCGTTACCACGGTCTGAGAGGCCAGAGTCAGAGCCAAGTCGCTTGCGCTTCAGACTCATCTCATCTTCCTCGCGGTAGTCCATGGTGCGGTTGTACGGTGACTCCGAGGTGCGTGACTCAGGAATGGGAGAACCCCCCTCCATCTCACGCCTGACCATGTCGCGGCGGATGATCAAGCCATGCATATCTGCCGACATTGATGTTCTGCGGTGAACACGACGGACATGCTCAGCGAGGTTCTCCTTCCGCGTGAAGCCGGCGCCTGAGCTGCGCTTGCAGTCGTGGAAGGGGCAGAAAAGGGACTTCTTGGTACCGCCGTGCATCTTGTGAACTTCGCGTTCGTGGCGAAGAAGGCCACCGCTGTAAGTGAAGCCTTGGAGCTTTTCGCAGCCCTTGACGTTGCACTTGTAAGGCCTGTCATGCTTGTCCATGTGTTTGCTGTAAACGTCAGTGTCTGTTCGTGTGAGTCTGGGAATACTATCACTCACCTCCATTCGCACTTTCGGTCAAAAGATGTACCGCGGCATTCTTGATACTTGCACACCATCTTGCCGTCTTCGTTGCGCGGTGGTTCTTCGGCGCGTTTATAGCTGTGGTTCTTCCGTAGTGATCCGTCGTCATCGCCGTCTTGCGAGGAGTCTACTGAGAGTCCCCTGCTGTGGCTTCGAGGCGGGCTTGTAACAATGATTTGGCGTTCGCCAGCGGTCGGAGAGGTCATGGGTGATCGAGCGCTCATGCTGACCGGGGTAGGCATATCGGTGAGCGAGCTGATGGAAATGTTCCGCTTGTGCTCGTGCGGCACTTGCATGGAAGTAGGGTTTGGCGAAAGCTCAGTCATGATGTCTGAAAATCCAAGGTTGAAATACTGAGGGTTGTAACTGTGTTGCTGGGCCTGAGGCTGGCGGCTTGGTTGATATATACCGGGAGACGCGAAGGCAGTTTGTGGCTGAGCAAAGAGATCGCTTCCCGCCGCTCCGGTGACTCTAACTCTCGGATCTTGAGTAGAAGTGATCAGATGACGCGGACTGTCTTGAGGTGGCAACGTATATGAGTGCCAAGGAATTTCGTGGTCGGAGCCCAGATGCGGAAAGGCCGTTAGAGGTGGCGCAGCAATGCCTTGATCTTGAGGCGAATAAAAATTAACGGGCGGAACTGCCTGGAAGTTTGGTGCGGATACGCCATAATAAGTATCTGGATTTGGATTTGTTAGTCGCAGCTGCGAACAAGTCCAGCCTGAAACCCAGGGTAGGCAGAGAAGTCGTGACTCAACTCAAACGGACACGGGACACTAGGCACTTACTTGGTCGCGGCTCTGGGTCCGCACCTTCTCCAGCCTGACTAACCCGCAGGACTGGAACTGGCAGCCTGTCCGCAAGACCATTCAAACTCAGATCGGGCTCCCAGGTTTCCGTGTTTCGTGCCTGGAATGGAGCATGGTCCACATGGACGTTTGTCGCAGGCGTCGCATGCTGCGGCTGCTCGCCAATCAGCTCTTGGCCAAAGCTGAGGTCTGCAATGCATTAGCACCAATCGGGATAACCACAAACCTTCTTCGTGTTTTCACGCTCGACCAATCGCAACCAGTCATCCACCTGAGCAGAAGCCTCATCGGGCGGAAAGAAATGTAACACATACAGTCTGACGATGCATCGGTATCCCACGACAGATTGAGGTTGTGTAGCACGTTGTTGTACGGCACGCGGTCTTTGCCAGTTCCCTCGTAAAACATCCAGCAAACTCCCCACAGAACGGCTAGGGACGGTTTGATAGTCCACGGGAAGGTGCTGAGCGCTTGTGGCTTCTCAGCGAACTCTGTAAACCAGGCCAGGAGTTTGCGCTGCCTCTTGTCGTGATCGCCGCAGAGCAACTCCTCCAGAGCCTTGCGTGCCAAGGACTCGATTAGGTCTGTCTGTAGCCGCAGCAGTAGATGTTCATAGTTGGCAATGAAGTTCTCGTCAAGGATCAGTCCGAGGTCAAGCCCTTGGGCCAAGAGCCAGTCGTCACCATACTGCCGGCGACACCCCGCAAGCACGTTGATCGCTTCGTGTACTGCCACGAGGAGCTGGATAGTTTCGTTCATGGAACGAGCCTCCAAGATCGACGCGTTGTCGTGTTTGAGAAAGAGCCTGTCGCTGTCCGCGATAGACGAGAACGCGTTTCCCGCTACATGGAGTTTGCCGTCGACGTAGCGAAGCATACTAGGCCCGCAGGTTCAGTAGTTGAAACTAAACAAAAGCTTCCGTGAACGTACTGTTGCACCTCATTCCCTAGGTTTCGACTTGCGGGAGCAGCCGAAGCCGGCGTCTGCAGGTTGCGCGACGGTCGAGTGAACGTCGCACCCTTCTGACTCTTGCAGATGCGATTGGCGACGCGACGCGACTGCTTCGCATCCTGGACGCTGATCCGTGATAGATTCTGGGCGACACTTCGGAGGCTCGGCGCGAGGCTGATGCCAAGAGGGCTCGCATCGATTGAGCCATGCTGCACACGCGGCTTGACACGACGACGAAGCTGTTTGACAAATTGGAGGATTCTAAAGGTGAGGATAATGCTCGTTTGCTTGTTGCGCTGCTGGATCGCCATTGCTAAGCGAGACGGGCGGTCCGAAGACGTAAGAAGAGACGACGTGTACTCAACCTTCGCCTCTCGCGTTCGCAGCTAGCATGTATATACTTGGAATCATCCAAGGGCGGAGCACATTGCAGAGTGCCTGCCGGTGAGCCTGCCTCGATGAGAGGAAACCGTCAAGCCACGCTGTACGGCCACACGCGGCGTGATTGGCTGGCTCCCGGCTTGTTGAAGTGCTCAGCCACAACAGAATGCCGCTTGATAACCTGGGGCATCAACGCCAGACTCGACACCACTTCTCCCACCCTATCGTTTGGACAGCCTGGCAAAAGACAAGGTCACGCAT